CTGGGGTGCCCAGTTGCACGCTGTTCGGGGCGATGCTTGTTCGCAAAAGCTCTGGTTTTCATGAGGAATTCGGCCGGCTTGCACAACCTCATGGAGCTGAGTTCCTAGATACGTGCATTCCAACAAATGGGCTTCAACGTGCATGACAACTATGTGCATATATATTTGTACAGACCCCAGTTAGTGGCGCCCCAGGCATGTTGAATTGGATTGGATGATATGAGAGTCGTGAGAGTACGGGACTGGTTATGCATGTTGTTTTGTTTCAGGGTTTGCCATGCATGGAAGGGGCGGCCATCCGCCTGCCTTCAGGCTCACCAGCGGATGGCGGAGAGGATCGAGGAGCTTCGGCCGGTGGAGGTGGTGGCGTCTCGTGGGAAATAGTGGATCTTCAGGTCGCAGGATTCGTTGAATACACCGCTTGACTACAAGCGGGGGTGCGAAATCACCATAGCTGCCTTGCTTGATGTGGAATAGCAACATAGCGTCCCACCGGATCTTGCAATCCCAACTGCACTTTTTTTTTTGCTCCTGCAAATTAACATGGGCCTGAAGTCTCAATAGTTGCACCTTCAGAATGGGTGTGTTCCAGTAGTTGTTACTCAACTTGCCCTCAAAAAGTCACGTACCCAAATATGGAGCCCAGTAGGGGTCTCCAAAAGGATTGTTCTCTAAGAATGACTACTCGGTGTTGAGGTTCCATGTTTTTTGGCAGAGGCAATGTCCCACGTTGAGATGGACCAGCTGAGCAAGGGTCTTGCATGGTCTTGCGCCAGCTTGGTTGATGTTGCCCTTTGTCCGGCCACGTCCAGCTTTTTTGGACACCCATCGAAGGTTCCAGAGCAGGGCATTTGCATCGCATGTCAGCAGCAGAAAGTGGTAGCTGAATGAACCCCTGCCGCCTTTAAAGGCGGTCGGGTGTTGGCGCACTGCGCCTTGACTCTGAGGGGTCCAGTGATTTGGGCAACCTGAGGTCAGTGGCTTGCCGGAGGAGATGGGTCCAGCCGAGGTCGAGGCCGGGAAAGGGCATGTTTGTTTCATTCGGTGTGGGTGTTTCGGGTTGTTTGAAAGAGACACCGTAGGGAAACCGCAGATTTTGGGCACCCCCTATTTCTGAACAGAAAAACGAAACAGTTTACCTGTGCCAACAGAGGCTGTCCCTCCGACACACAGCAACTTTGTCATATGGGGCGGCCGTTCATCATCTTTAACATGTTTTGTCTCATGAAATATTTTTCGAGGCTTAGCTACTCCGCTTTGGGCTCTCCCTGGCATGTCTTGGTGAAGCTATACTTCTCTAGGGCTTGGTCTGCGGCTTGGGGTTTTAACCAGGCTACCAGCTTCGTATTCTCGCAGATTGATTGCTGGGCTGCTGGTTGGGACGTTGCTGGTCCTCAACCCCAGCCCTGTTTGGACAAATCATCCTTCACAAGCAACATGTTTGGAGAGTGCACATCCAGACAAGGCTCATGTGTACACATGTTGACGAGGACAAACAAAAACAACGTATATTGAGCGGGGCAGGTTTGCATGAGCTCCAAAAGCCACTTCAAGCCTCCCCACACTCCAGTGCAAAGGCAACAGGGGGCTAGTGCGCCAGGAGCTGGTGGCAGACTTTGGCGCGGTCGAAAGCATAGAGCCGGCGGCCCAGGTGTTTTACGACTGGGATGTGTTTGATACTGTGGATGGACGAAATCAAAATCCTGCCCCACTTTGACACCCTGGGAAACCATTGTTTGTCGGTTCCTTAGGTGTTGCAGGATTTCGTCGGTGGTCTCCTATCGGTTTCTTGTGACAATATTATTTTTGCCGAAATGGACCATACTCTAGTTGTTGGTGGGGCTAAGATAGCATGGATGGGTCAACCACAATGGGGGACTGTTCACAACTTCGAAACCACAAAGGGGGGTGGAGTTCTGTTGATGTTTGCCTTTGAACATTTTTGGGGATACAGTGCCCCATGATCGCGGACCCCTTTTGGTTTTTGTTGACGGACAAAAGTCAACAGCCATTCCAATCCTTCCTAATTGGAATGTGTCGAGAGCAGGTGGACAAACCATTAGCATCAGGTCTCTCCCCTTTGAAAAAGAACCCCGGCAGCCTGCCAGTGACATGACACATCCTCGCTCAAAGAAAGGAAGAGGGCATTGCCATTGGGTCAAGTGTTCCTTTCCCCACATTCTACCCGTGAGGATTGGGTCGGATGGGGGCACTGGCTCCTTGAGTTGGGTATGCCCGTGTGGCTGGTCAAAACGAATGGGATCCCTTTTTGGTTGGTAGGTGAATTCACCACCCATTTTAGATCATTTTAGTCTATTTCAGTGGTTGGATTGGTTGATGTAACCACTGGGGGCTAACCGATTTGGATTTTAACCCATGGCGTTGGTCGGTCGGTACCAATTGGAATATTTCGTGCTGAGGCCTTGGAACAGGGGGGAGGCCCTAGTGACCTTCGACTGTCCACACGCGGCTGAGCCGCTCGCCATGAACGCTTTCTTTGGGGTGCAAAAACCCAATGCAACGAGTCCATGGAGCCCCAAATGGGGCAGATGCCTCAAGCCATGGTTTTTTGGAATTTCATGATGGTTTTGGAATCTCATGCAAATCATTTAATCTGCAGGAGTGTCATGTTTTCCCATGTGTTCCCAAAGGGCAAGCCGGAAGGAGATGCTCGTTGTGGCTGACATCTGACTACCCACGGACAAAGAAGGCTAAGTTCCCAATGCGGCCGACCTTCCCTTTGAGCATGTGTCAAAATAGGAAATGGGACCCCACGTTGTTTTCTTGTGTTGTCCCTTCTCGATGTTCCTTTTGGCTTCAGACGAGGGATCGGCCTCGAAGAGCAAGGGTTGGCTTGCCGTGCTATGGCATGGAGGATGTGTCTTTTTCCCGGACCTTTTTCACCACACAAATCATGACCGGCCTTGTTCAAGGATCAGGACGCGCGGGGCCACGTCACACAATGGTCAGCACCCAGTTGTTTCCCTCCCCAGCCTGACAAAAGGAATAGTAGTCAAACACCTCTGGCATGAACCCTTGGTTTGGACATGCTTGGACATTTCCTGGGCCAATCAGGTTTCAGGTCCTTGGGGTCCAGTTTGCCGTGACCTATGCCTGGGGGGTTGGAAGGAGTAGCAGTTGCCAACGGCCAACACCGTGCGAATGACTGCAGTACCTATTTGTCATTCAAGCAAACCAACCATATTGACGGCTGGTGACCAGCCTCTCTCAGCGCACATTGGACGTGAACAAGCTAGCTGATGGACGTGTTCAATATGAATATGTCTAAACGTGGGCAAGGGAAGGCTGCCGTACTCAAGTTCCATTCGGGCATGTTGTGTTCATGTGCCGGTGTTCGCAAATAGGCTTTCTTTCGATCCCGGTTATGGCAATTCTTTTTGACTCTCATCCTCGGCCTCAACTACTCTGTGTTGGACCTTTCGAAAAGTGGCAATTTCCTTGGAACCTACCTGCAAATTGCAATTTCCGAAAAGAACATGCAGTGACCGTGCTTCAGGACAAATTGATCATGGTGCCTGATTTGAACCCCACTGAAACCACCGCCTGTGTCCTTTCAACCTGGTCTGAAAGGACTCCGGTTGGGAGCCCTTGTTAAACGACACCATCCCCCGAAGCTTGGGCAAAGCTTTGACACATGCTGGGGTTTCAACCACTGGGTTTCCCCGGCCGAAACTCGGGGCGATGGGTCCAGGAAGGCGGCCTCCGCCCTGGACCGCGAGTACTTCAGAGGCTGCTTTCTCCGCTGTGAGCTGAGACCACGCGCCCCAGCCGCGATGCCGACCGCACGAATCCCAAGGGCAACCAAGGGTTTTGGACCGTTCCTTAAACCAAAGGCCAGCGTTTCAGGTTCTCAAATTCTGGAGGTGCTTGCCTTTCAAACCACCTTTTTTCTTTGAGCGGATTGTTTCGATTCGAGCAGCAAGAATGAACATGAGTTGGTTCTATGAGGTGCATCACTTGTAAGGGAAGCTTTCAACGGAGCGATGTTTGCTTCCCCTTTGCACCCTTTGTCAGCTCGATCCACATTCCGATAGCGAAAGAACATAGCCTGAGGTCTCTTGACAATTCCCTGCCATGGAAAATGTTCCCAAAGCACACTGGATGGCAATTGCAGGCCGGCATACATTTGGAAGCGCTGGATTGGGGGGACAATCCAATCAAGCTGTGCACTACTTGGCTTTTGGTTTACCATCACTTGTTCAGTAAGTTAAGTGATTGAGACAATTACCTACACAGCGACGAAGTCGATTCGAAGGGAACGTGCTCTTAGCATCGCATTGAAGGTGTTTTCTTTGCATGTTCTCGTTGAATCCGCGACATGTGGGCTGTTAAACATTGCGGGGTCTTTCTCCGCCTAGGTGAAGGGGTTGTCAAAGTCACTGAGGTTGCCACAAAGGAACAGGACTCGAGGAAACGGACCCAGTGTCCAAGTTGCCTTGCCATGTGTTTTCTGCGTTGCTCGGTTTTCACAGTACTCGACGATTGCTTTGCCACAGCGGAGCGGAGCGGAGCGGAGCGGGGGGCATTGAGGGGGGCCTTGAGTTTTATTGCTACAGGTGGCTGGTGTTGGAATGGCTCATGGGGTAAGCTGTGTGCTACCCTTTCACGAGCTTCGGAAGGCTATTTTGGCTCTGGTACGCAGCTTGATGCCATGTTCCAAGAAGACCTTTCAGCCTGTTGGTCTCATGGCAACCCCAAGCCTATGCAACTCCAGGGCATCTCTTTGGATGTCCAGATGTGTCCAGTGAAGGACCAGGAGGGTCCCTTGTTCGGAATCTCCTTGAGCCGAGGTGAGACGCCTCCAGAGCCAAAGCTTCAAAAAGGGGCTGTGATGGTGTCGAACCTGCCGCCAGTGGCTCGCTGAAATGGGAAGCGCCCAAGCGCGTACGGGCGCCGGGTTGCTGGAATGCCCTGGACAATCGCGACATGCCCCTTTTGACGCAAGGCACTGGACCACTGGAAGGGCAGCTCTCGCTCCCATGTGCGTAATTTGAGTTCTCACCCTCTTTTGTGGCTTAGAGGAAAACAAAGAAAGCGCCAATTTTGGGGCTTCCCTTTGGAGGGGTATTTATTTTAGGATTTTTTTTCGTTTTTTTTGGGATTTTTTTTCGCTTTTGGCTTCTTGGCTTCTTGGCTTCTTGGCTTCTTGGCTTCTTGGCTTCTCGGCTTCTTGGCTTCTCGGCTTTTCGGCTTCTTGGCTTCTTGGCTTCTCAGCTTCTGGGCTTCTGGGCTTCTTGGCTTTGGCTTCTTGGCTTCTTGGCTTCTTGGCTTTTCGGCTTCTTGGCTTCTCGGCTTCTGGGCTTCTAGGCTTTTCGGCTTTTTGCTGGTTTATGCGGCTTTTGGTGGCTTTTTGGCTTTTCGCATCCTCTGCATTCCCAGTTCCTCTTCGGCAGGTGGCGTTTTTCCGACATCATGGGGGGGGCTGCCGCCCCCCCCAACCCCCCCGCTACGTTTTAGATTTTCTGCAGAGATTTAATTAGTTGCACCCCTAGTTGAATCATCAATTCTTCGAACATCATGGGGGGGTTGCACCCCTAGTTGAATCATCAATTCTTCGACCATCATGGGGGGGGGCTGCCGCCCCCCCCAACCCCCCCGCTACTTTTTAGACTTTTTGCAGAGATTGCACCCCTATTCAAATCATCACTTCTGCAAACAACATCGTGGGGGGGGCTGCCGCCCCCCCCAACCCGCCAGCTACTTTTGTTGAATCATCATTTCTTTGACCCCGTCACACGATTTGTGGGTGATGCTAGGGATGTTGGTGGGACATGCGGGGGATGTTGACTACTTGAATCACCACTTCTTCCGACATCATGGGGGGGCTGCCGCCCCCCCCAACCCCCCCCGCTACGTTTAGATTTTCTACAGAGATTTAATTAATTGCACCCCTAGTTGAATCATCAATTCTTCGAACATCATGGGGGGCCGCCCCCCCCCAACCCCCCCGCTACTTTTTAGACTTTTTGCAGAGATTTAATTGCACCCCTATTCAAATCATCACTTCTGCAAACAACATCGTGGGGGGGGCTGCCGCCCCCCCCACTACTTTTTATATATTTTTACAGGGATTGACATGCCCTCCTACTTGAATCATCATTTCTTTGACCCCGTCACACGATTTGTGGGTGATGCTAGGGATGTTGGTGGGACATGCGGGGGATGTTGACGGGCTAGTGTAAAATGCGTCAATTTCGCGAGAACATGCTGTAAAATACGACACTTTACTGGCCCGGCAGAGATTGAATTGCACCCCTGTTTGAATCATCACTTTTTCGAGCGTCCAATTTCGCGAGAAAATGCTGCAAAATACGACATTTTAGGTAATCTGTGTAGTCCGTGTATGAATCACCACTTCTTCCGACATCATGGGGGGGGCGGCAGCCCCCCCCCAACCCCCCCAGATTTTCTACAGAGATTTAATTAATTGCACCCCTAGTTGAATCATCAATTCTTCGAACATCATGGGGAGGGCTGCCGCCCCCCCCAACCCCCCCCGCTACTTTTTAGACTTTTTGCAGAGATTTAATTGCACCCCTGTTCGAATCATCACTACCCCGCTCTGTTTTTCTTATATTTTTTTGTATTTTTTTTTGCTGGGATTGAAATGCCCTCCTGTTTGAAGGATTATTGTTTTGACCCCGTCAACCCGCCAGCTACATTTTTGGATTTTGTTACCCACGATTTGTTGGTGATGCTAGGGATGTCGGTCGGACATGCGGGGGATGTTGAAAACGATGCTGGGGATGTTGACCAGCTAGAGTAAAATGCGTCAATTTCGCGTGAAAATGCTGTAAAATACGACATTTTGCTGGCCCGGACGAAAAACGAAAAAAAATCCCAAAACAAAACGAAAAAAAATCCCAAAATAAATCCGCACCCCTTCCCTTTTTAAGGTGCGCCATGAAAAGCCATACCTGCTGCTAGAGATGCAAAAAGGCTCACTCAGAGCAGGGCCTTGTTCACTACCTGTGGATTTGAAAAGGTTTCTGGGCGAAGAAACTTGATTTACCAAGTGTCGCAATAGTGAGGAAACTATTTTGTGAAAAGATCCAACTCCGATCGTGAAATTTGACAGATGCACGTTCATGGGTCCTTCTGGGGCCTGCCCCATGCAACAAGAACCAATGAAATTGCGCAGATTGCCCAATGGTTGTGCGATTGACTCTTGCATTGAATCAAATGCCAGGCCAAACCCAAGGGCATCCCTGGAGCTAACCAATCTAAGATTGCCACTTCTCCCAAAAAAAACACCCATCGGGCAAATGGTGTGTACCACTGTGTGGGCGCAGTTTATCTACTCTTTCTCCTTGGGTAGTTTGGCGCCTGCATTGAGGCGGCAACTCGGGCCGCTCGGCTTGGGTGGGAGCGTGCCAATGAGACCCTGGCCATATCATGGGGCTCGACTGAGTTTGGACAGCCCATGTGCTCGTCTCTGGGTTACAGCTTGCAGGGAAGATTGAAACACCCTGAACTATGTGAGCTCCAGCCAGTCCTGCTAAGCTCATGCTCGCCACGTATTGTGCGCATGAAAAGGTAGACATGCCTCAGCATGGTCAATTATTCATGCTTCGCCTTGCTACTCTGGCATGATGGACAAACTGCAAGAAGCATGCATAGAAGCATCACTCCAGGCAGCACAACTTTAAACATGCTGCTCAGTGGCTCCTGCAACGAAGCCTGAGGAAGAAGTGGAGCAGCTGTTTTCACTGGTTGGTGACGTGCAGGAAGTGCCGCTCGGCGGCATGCGCAGTACCAAGCACGTTCGTAGCAATTTGTCGGTGCTTCCATGTGGTACACTGGGGCACCTACTGTGGATGGGCGAAATCCTGCACCACGGGGTTTCTTCGGTGCTATCGGATTTGGTCCATCCACAGCATTTGCAAGAGGGCAGCGTACAAAATGAGTTGGGCAAGAAGCCTTGTCAACACGGCAGCGCAAACCGCGGGGCCTCGTTTTGGCACCCCAGCCCAAGCATTTGCTCGGTCACTGGACTGCCAGCTTAGGCGCATGTATGGAGGAGGCCGGACTGGCGGGCAGCTGACTGGTCGGAGAAGCTGTCTTACATGCGAGAGGCAAGCCATGACATAATGCGTTCAATACATTATCGTTGTCAAAAGCTGAGCTTTGGGCCTTTTGGAGTCATTCATTTTTGGTTGCGCCACGAAAAGGCGAATCCTTCATTGCAAGGTTCTTGTAGGTGAGTGAACATTGAGAGAAGTGTCTGAAGACTTGTGGGTGCTTTCTAGACTTGCTAAAGCAACCCTTTCCTTTGGGTTCAATCCGGTTCCCTTTAACGCCCGCACAAGTTCCCGATGGCTCGTTAGCAGCTTGGTAGGGCCCAAGCTTTGCCTGGGCCTTTGCTCCATGCTCTCGAACGAACCGCGAACCAGCGGTTCCATGACGGACTTTCTATTTTTCCAAGTGTGTGAATCGTCTCGGGCACGCCGCTTAGGGAAGGAATACTCTAGCTTCTGCCTGCGCTTGCTCATTCGCTCATTCGCAGAGATCAATCGGCTTGTCCCACCATGACGCATCGGCATGTGGCCTGCGCTGGTTGGCTGCCTTGCGCGTGCGCAATGGCAAGCCGTCCCAGTTCAGGCGCGAAGGGCCCGACTTGGCAGTGGCCAAGCTGCGACGTTTGGGAAACAAGGTGCACATATTAAAGTGTTGAAGCTGGGGGCTCTTCAAATGTAAACCTGGAAAATACTGGAAAAGGAACATTCTGTGTGGCACGTGACATAGAAAGTATGAGAGATTCCTGGCTCCTCACGCGTTTTCTCTTTGCAGGAGCCTCCAGAGGAGATATTGGCCCAGCGTGCGGCAAACACTCTGAGGGCATCCTTGGATGACCTCGGTGCCCGCCACAGTCTGCTGGTGTCGGAGGACAAGGGCTGTTTTCAGACTACCTGGTTAGGAAAATATAGGTAGGCTTGTAGCTTCCTCTTGCAGGCATGTGTTTCCTGTCCCAACAGGTGGCGAAAAGATAACCCTGGAGGAGGATCTGCGACAGATTCTAGATGACCATCTCGAGATCCCCAGAGAGGCTGATGCCGGCTGGGAGCCATTTGGCCAAACAAGCCCACAGTCAAGTGCACACCTTGTCTATTGGTAAACAGTCGAGTCGAATTGAAAGCATTTCTGATAGCACAAGAAATGAAACGCATAAGCCTGGAGCATGCATTCCTGCGCAAGTCCCAAGTTGGGGGCCCACCAACATGGAATCTGACAGGGGTCCGAAGAAGACTCTCTCCTTTTTTTTAAGACATGAGAGGGAGCTGAACCCTGAGGTCACCTCCTCGCCGCACTGAGCGTGGCGCTGCTTGCAGCGTCAGCGGATGGAGGAGCGGAATTGTGTCTCTTATGGGACTAAGCCAGAAACCGGGGGATGAACCCAGGAGTCACTGCTGGACCAAAGGATGGACTCATGATCTGGGGATGAGCCCATCCAGATTCACTGGGAAACCCAGGGGATGAACCTATAGACAAGGGAAGTCACTATTCGACCAGTAAACTATAATGCAGCGGAGCCAAGAACTGAGCCCGTACACTGAGGGAATTCACTTGTAATCCAAGGCGTGGGTCATCGTGGGTCCGTACAACAGGGACTCACTTATCAACCACGAAGCTCGCGTTTGAGAAAGGGAACAACTGACTATACTACACTATGGGATGCACTGATGAACCAGAGGATGAACTCATGCAAAGGATGCTTCACGTGTAAACCATGCTAGGTGTGAGATTGTTGACCATGTCAAGCTGGAAGGTCTTGCTTCCTTTTGGCTTGTACCTGTTGGTTTCACGCTGAGCCTTGACAAACAGCCAGTGCATAGGAAGCTCTTGCAAGAGCAGGCTCCTACTACTAAGCGCCCCTTGCGTTGCTAAACCAATAGGCCGGACCCGACATGTTGGTCGACTGTCAGCGGCCAGCACGTCCCCCCTCTCCCTTTCTGGTGGTTTCAACCCGCTTTCGAACATGGCGGAGCCCATGCTATCCTTCATTTTCCATGGCCTTTTTGTAAGTGCTCAAGACTCTGAGAGACTACACACGCCACCTTTTAGTCCATTTTACTCTGTCATGTGGAAAAGCACGGCCTGAGGCTGTGCTGTGACCTTCATCCCACGTTCTTTCGGACTGCGATGCTTCAGGAATTTGTTTGCCTGTTGCTTGTTTAAAGGTATTGTAGCACGAGGACTTTCCGTTTAGTCGACCGATGACTTTGCTGAAGGCGGGCAGGCAACAGTGCTCCCTATTGGCGCATACGCGGGTGAGGTGGGTTTGCGCGCGGGTTGATATGCGGGTGGCTTGGGTTGGTGGGTTTGTTGTTGCAATGAGAAAGTGGTTTGGGTGGTTTTGGGGGGGGAGTTGGGTGTGTTGGGTTGGGTGTGTGGGATGGTGGTTTGGATTTGTTGGGTTGTTGTTGTTGGTGTGGGTGGGTGTGTTGGGGTGGTTCGGTTTGTTGTTGAAAGTTGGGCGGGTCGGTTGGGTTTGCGGGCCTACGTGTAATTGAGCTTGTCCTTGGTGGAATCAAGGTGGGCATTCTTGCACTCCTTATAATGAAAGCTGACAGGCTTGTTCGGGCTTAGGGTGGAATGTGGGGAGTGCACTTTTCTTTGGGATGTCCCTGTCCACTTCTAATCAAAGTAGGGATGGAGGTTCTCAATAGTCCCCCAAAATGGCAGGTGTCCTTTTGCTGCCCTTCAACAACGAATTAAAAGGGGTCCTCTTTTTTTTTGCTACTCCCATAGGCACACCCCAGGAGGCCGCTTTGCACGCCGCCAACTACGGAGCTTTGCGTGGAGCGGTTGCTGCCGCTGCTGCTGCGGGAGGTGCACCATGCGATGTCCTTCGTGCAGGACCAGGTGAAGGAGGGGTTCATGTTATGCTACAATAAAACTTTATTCCCTCATGGGGATTTACCATGATTTACCAGACATGGCTAGAACTTGAAAACTCCGGATCTCCAAACCGGGGGACAAATTGCTGATCATTTTTGGATGGTATTTTGCGGCGGTGCCATTTGGGGCGGTTCAGACAAACATGGAATTCCACCCATTTTGGTGTGGATTCCAAACAAGAGCCGGGTTTTGACTGTGACCCAAATAGAGGTGGCCAAAAAAATTGTGGTGTTCCTTTTGGCTTCTCTTTGATTCGACCTCAAAAAGATACCCTCCAAAGTCACATCTCAATGAAGAAAAATAAACACCAACATTCCCAGCATCACCAGCATCACTTGGACCTGAGGGGTTTTCGCTGGCTTAGATCTTCATGAGGGTGGGTCTTGGGGTGGTTTGGGGTTAGGAGAAGCGAAGTCGCCGCTGAGTGGGTTGGGCGGTGCCCCAAAACCGATCCTAGACCAAAACTCACTTAACCACACCCTTTTTTGCCTCCCTTCCAAGCCCCAAAAACGCGGAACTACTCGAGCGCTCGAGCAATTCCGCCTTTTTGCAGTCGAGGTGCTGGACGCGGTGGCGCGGGTCACCGGCACCTCGGAGCGGCTGACGACCCCCCCGATCTCCGGCCGCGCCTTTGCCGCGGTCGGCGCCCTGGAGGCGCTGAGAGTTGGAACGCTTTGAAGCATAGCACCGCGCAGAAGGTCCCAAGGAAACTGATCCAGGCACCTCAGGTGCTACGCTTGGTGGTGGACGGGTACCCCCGAAATCGGAGGTTTGACGCATGGGGTACCATGGGGTCCTCCAACCTGGACATAGCCAAAGGGTACCATCGGCTGGAGTCTTGGTCGACCGTGAGGTCAGAACTCAGAACCGGTACAAACGATGCGGTTCATCAAATGCAGTGTTAGTGTGCATCGTTTCTACGGCATGGTGCTTCACAAAGCATTGGCTGCTACCAAGGGCAATCTGAAAAAGGGTCCTCGGGAAAAGGCACTTGACTGCAATCAATGGCGATCATATGCCCGTTCTCCGTAGCAAGGAACATTAGCAAACATGCACACTCCAGACACTGCTTCTGAAGGAAGATCCTTTGTTGTGGTATTGTTGGTAATTATTCGATGTATTCTGATCATGGTTGTTTGACTTGTTTGTGCCGGGGTGATACTCCTCAATTCAGGGTTGTGGGTGTTGTTTCCCGCTTCTATGATATGCCCTTTGCAAGATGAAATACGTACCCAGAAGGTCCCTTCCAATAGTGTCCCAGTGGGCTCTTCCCACATCCCTGGCCCCGGAATAGATTGTTTAATAATTTGCTGCGTTCTGCTCAATTTCAGTGGGAGGCCGTAAATATGCCAGGAGTTGGGAAGAAAATCCTGTTGTGTGTGTGTGCAAGCTGCGCCAGCACTTGAACCAGTTTATTTTGGAGAGGAGGGGGTGACCTGCGAAATCCCATTTCCCTGTGACTGGTAAAATGGGGCTAACTCAAAAAGGTAGAGGCCATCCATCGCTGCAGTCGGTGCTGAACCTTTTCCTGGGCCTCTTCGAGCGTGTGGATTTCAACCCGAAACTCGGCGCCTGCCTCGTCACTGCCATGGGCCAGAAGATCCGGGAGGCTGGATCACTGGGGGAATTCGCTGGGACACCCCTTGAAAATCAGTTCGAAAGAGCCCAAAACGCTAGCCCTCATTCGGATGTCCAGGGTGTTCACGGGACAGCCGCCAAGAACCCTAAAAAGGCAACCCTCATTCGGACAAGGGTTTAGGGATAGGGTGCCTAGGGCTGCAGAAACCATTTGCAAACCTGAGTGTCTCAGAAACCTGCGGACCTGGAGAGGGTCACGCCTGTTCGCTTGTCGCAGGCCCTGCGGGCCTCAGAGCTGAATGTACCGAAATTGGATGATGAATTCTTTGCAGCTATCTAAGTTGTCAGGACCAAAATGGAAGAGTTTCCTTCAAATCCACCAAACGGGGAGGGGACGTTGACAGTGGCAAGATACAGGGGATCGACCCTCTAGTTTGTGGGTTGAGTTGCTTGCAATTAGAATTCTAAGAAGTCATGGTTTGACGCCTTGTGCTTCTGATGCTTTCCAAGGGCGAAATGTCGTGCGGGTTATCTGGCATGAGGGTTGCAGCGTCGCAGCCGACAGTGCTGCAAAGGATGACGCTTCAAGCAAGCAACCCCACGGTGACAGGGTATCCACGTCAAATGTTTGCAAGATGTTGAGAATCTGTGTCATAGCGGGTGCTAAAAGGCTCGCCAGGTCAACATGCAGACCATGGGAGGTGTATATATATATATATTGATGGTGCATTTCCTTGTTGCACGTTCTTGGGCATGACGTCCGCCTGTGACATACCTTTAGCCAACGAACATGGTGAGTGCAGAAGGCTTCCACCAAAACAAAAGTATTGCTTGTAGGTCACATGCGTGCAGGCAACCATTTGATGCTGGTTGAAAAGTTGAAGATGGGTGTTGCGCTGCTCATGTTGATTGTTCCCATTTGAGAATTAGCTTGAGTTGTTTTCGTTACCAGACCCGGCGGGGTCTGGTGGTATGGAGCTAGCATTCGGATGTACGTAAGCGGAATACCCTGCTGACTAGGGAATATGCGGATGTATTTATATATTATATTTGATTATATATATATATATATACATACACGTCACACCTCTAAATTCCATGCCTCAAAGGTCATAGTTTCTGCTTTTGTTTTCGGATGTCCTCTCAAATACATTATGGAGTAGATACATCATGCAAGTAACTTGTTTCAGTTATTCCGAGAAAAACAGAAAAAAACAACTGGATGTTTACACGGAACACACCGTTCTTCGACCGCACCTACCAACACGGAACCTGACTGAGGTGGCTGGAAGATGATCTTCCTCAAAAGGGGACCTCTTGGTGTGTACGCATATGACAAATCACGCGACCGATGGCTCGAAACTATCTACTTGTAGCCAAGGGCATAACATCTACGTAAGACAATTCACTGAACATCCTTTCCTTCCTTTTGCTGAAGAATGCCTCTCATTTCCTTCTTGTTTTTAAGGGAATCGATCACTACTGGACACATGTTTCGTTCTTAATTTTTCCCAGGGGGCGAAAAACAGTCCGTAGCCATTTGGGCTCAAGTGCGCTTCTGGCTCTTGGGAACTCCCTTTTCATATTGTCGGAATGTCGGATGCCAACCACCTCTGGCTGAATGGTCGCTGGGGAAGGGTTCCCCGCGGCTCGTTGGCAGGTGCGCTCAAGGATTTGTGTGGAGTGGATCGGAATATCCCTGTTCAGGTTCTGGATGAGGCCCCGCCAGCTGGTTTCACATGGAAGTGTTTGCGCGATGCTCCTACTCCGGTCTTCACCAACGGGAGATGGGTTTTTTCAGGGCCTCAAGCGGCCTCGTCTGCGGCGTGGTCTGATTGGCCTGCGGACAATGGTGATCGAGCTTATCTTTTAGCTCACCTTGAAAGGACGGAGGCGTGCGGTGATGCCGGACCAGTCCCTGTTGAGGGGGCATCCGCAATGCCTCGGCACTTGCAACCTGTGGTCTCTCGCCCGGACCTTGTTGCTCATGTTCAGCAGGAGAGCTCCAGAGCGGCCCAAGCGAGGAGATTGGCACCCGATGCCTCCACAGTCGCCTCCTTTTTGAGTTGGTTGGGGGATGTGGCGCCGCTTCGACGGCTGAAGCTGGGCATCTCGGGGCCTCGAGCACCTACAGAAGCTTCATTTATGACGGCTGCTTCGGTCGGTACAGAGTATGCAAGGCCAACTCTTCAGCCCATTAGCGAGGTGTCAAAGGAAGCGACGGCTTCTTTCCGAGCGAGCTTGCTCAGCTCGCTTGATTTTGAAGCCTTTGCGCCTGAGCTGGCGGGCAGGTGGAGAGACGGTTTCATCGATGGGCATATGGCTGAGCGGTGTGACTCTGATGCCCGAAAGAAGCTCAAGGATGAGTGCATCAGTTTGGGAGCCCCAGCAACGCCGAGTATTTTCTCGGTGTGATGGAATCTGTCACGGCCTACGGAGATCACCTTCCTGAGGGGGCCTTGAATTTCAACCAGGGTTCGTGTGGCAGGAATGCAGTCCAGTTTGTGGCTGCGTTCGAGGCATTGGTCAGTGGACCTACAAAGACTGGGATGCCAGGCTACTTAGCTCGAGGGAAGCTCAAGCGGAGCATGCATGGGACGAGACGCATGGAGTCCGGAAGGCCTTTTCTGGATGGGATCTTTTGGCCCTGAAGGTCAATGTTCTCGCCCGTCCTAAGCCTGATGAGAACCTTGTGTTGATCCCCTGCCAATCCCAGAGAGGTGCAACTGCTCCTCACTTCTCATTTCCCATGCGGGTGTGGGACCCAAAGGACCCTAAGCACAAGAGGTCTGCTTGTGACCCTGAGAGCGGAGAGCCCTGGACATGGGTCACTGTGGCCGCTACGCGGTGTTCCTACAAAGGACTTCCGCACTGGACAATTGTGTTTGTCACGGACCAAATCACCGTGTATCCTAAGAGCAGTCTCAAGCTCGGCAGTGAGATAGATGCCTAATTCCTAGAGAGAGGGTTTGCGCCAAAGTTCATCAGCGCGCTGAGGGCTTCAAGGAGCCGCTTGTCATCGTCGTTGGGGAACTCGTGAGCAGGTCCATGGACAACTTGGGGTTTGAGCGCCGAACATGCCGCATTGTTGCGACCGTTGTCACCCTCTCATTGGGCTTTACAGGCCCTTTGATCGGGTTCTTTATGACGTTGAGTCCTTTGCAGATGCTCATCCTTGGAATCGTTGCGATGAGCTTCATGGGCGACCTGTTTCGGAAACACGCACACCCCTATGAGCTTTCGGTGATTGTGGCGCATGTTGCATGGCGCTATGGGAGAGGAGGGCTGCAACGATCGCGTTTACCGTGATATTGCAGGTCTTTGGGCACTTGGTGCTGATTGTCGGTGCCTTTTTGTCTCCTTCGAAGGATATGCTCACATCGTATTGGGTGCTCACTCTAGCTTTTGGAGAGGTGAACCCAGCGACACCGCAATTGGCACTTTCGGTCCCAACACAATGTTTTTCGGACCTCCTCGGTTGTATTACGTCTTTTGCGCATTGGACCCTTGGTTGGGTGCGAATTCCTGACTTGGCACCCTGGGTCCCTCCGGTTGCAATGGCGTTCCAATACATTATGAGATACTGTGCCATGATTTTTGCGTGCCTCACCCAGACAAACCTGCCCATCTATTTCAAAGATGAGGCTGGTAGTGTGAGGACCGATCCATTCAGGACCGTTGCCCTGGCCTTGCGCCAGGATGAAAAAGAGATGGGAACCAACACTGCTTTCTTCCAGATCATGTTGATTTCGAATTTCTTGGCTATTTCTTTGATTCTTTTGTATTATGGTGATGCCCGAGACAGAGAGCCAATTGTGGTCCACAAAGTTCAGCAGAAGCTGGTGACCGCAGGGCCAATTGATGACAAGACGGTCGGTTTGGATCTTGTGCCCTGGCCTGGTGCCCGTATGCTGTGGCCCATTTTCTTGAAATGTTGGATTTGGCATGCGGATTCGGCAGAGCTACGAGGTGGCAGAGTTTGTCCTTTGTACAAGGGGCGAGGCGCAACGACTGACCTCAGCAGTTACCGCTCAATATGCGTCACTTCAGTTGTGACCAAGGCTTTTCAGTTCGTGTTCAGGTGAAGAGTGTTAGCACAGGTGCAACCAAAGCTGACACAGTTCCAAATCGGAGGCATGCCCCATCTCACGCACTCCATTTGATGGTACGTTCAGCAATTGCACGCAAAAGAGCTTTCACGATCATATTCGTCGATCTGGAGCAGGCCTTTTATACGGTCAGGCGCACAGCAGTACATGGCGATGCTTTGCAGTTTGAGGATGACGAAGAAGACACGCCCCTGTCCGATCTTGGAGCAATGTCTGCAATGGAGCGACTAGAAGTCCCCGAAAGTCTTCGCATGTTGATGCAGCAGGCCTTGAGGAGTTCTTGGTTTTATGTTGACGAGACAGGCTCGAAGCACCAAGGTCAGCGCAGAGTGGTCAAAAGTCACAGAGGGACTAGACCTGGCACACCATTCACCTTGGCCATGGCTGACATCACAGATAAATGTGACCAGAGATGTCAAAGCGATCCTGTTTCGAGATGATGGGCAGATGAGATGGCCTTCTTCATCGAGCATCCTGACTCAGCGCATGTTCTCAGGGACACTCAAACTACTCTGGCTGCGCTGAACAAGAGAGTCACGGAAAAGGGCCTTGCCGTCAATTACAAGGCCGGCAAGACGGAAGTTCTGGTTCTCGCCTTTGCTCAACGAGCCCAGACTTTGTGTGCTTTTGCCAGAACATCTGGCGCACACATGGGGCCTGATTATGCCCAATTAGGCAACGCGTTGCTAGAGCAGAGAGGGCCTGACCCTGCAGTGCTCGAGAAGAAGAAGGGCGAAAAACAACAGACATGGAGGGATGGTGTGATGGTAGGTGTTTTTTTGCGATTAACTTTCCGGAATGGGGCAAAGAAACAGAAATTGAGGGACATGGTGCGATGGTCGGTATATAAACTAGGTCCCCCAGCGATCGGTGCCCTCTCCCCTTTTCTGGTTGGGAGGGTTCCCCTACTAGAATAGGCGTCCTGAAAAAAAATGTATTTTTTTAAATTCTTATCTCTCAAATCTGGAGGGCCTAGGTCCCCTTTTTTGGGTTTGATTAGAAAATTTCTAGTCGCTAGATAGGTGTTTTTCCATTTACCAGGTACCCTTAAACCCACCAGACTGAGCCCCAAACGCGCCAGACTGGCGCCTGAGGCGCTGCTGACGGCCCTGCAGGACCACAAGGCGCTGTCCGCGGGCCTGCGGGAGATCCGCTGGGAGCTGCGCGGCGCGCAGCCGGAGGGGTAGGGAGCAGCGGAGCAGCTGACGTCTGACGTCTGGACCCGGGGGCCTTTAAAAGGGCACTTGAAGCATGTTGTTTTTTTTGTTCCACCAAAATCAAGTTGGAAACCACCATCTACGTTAGGCGATGTTCAGGTGTAGAATGTAAGGATCCCTGTTTAAAAGGAATACTTTCTAATCCAGGACCCCCCCAAAACGTCAGGTTCCATGGTGTAGTGGACACCCACAGAGGTCATAGCCAGCCCTCAATGGCGACTTGTAGGCTGCTGTGGCTCCCTATGGCTTCAAATCTGGCAGGTATTGGCCTGAATCCCCTTTCGAACCAGCCAGAAAGGGGTTAGGGTTCGCCTTGGTCTTTGCTGAAACCCATGGACCCCGAACAGTTGCATTTCTCTTTTACAGCAGCTGTTGTTCATTATTGTTTCTTGCTGCAGTCAAGATGCGGGTCAAGGCGTCCATGGGGAAGGCTTGGTTGGAGTTGGCCTTTGGGCAAAAAACCGATAGGATGGGCATCTGCGATCTCCAGTGTCCAGGTACGTCGAGCTTGTCGAAACTACCTGGGTAAGATATACACATTTGAATATGCGTGCGGCATGACTGAACAGTTGAGAAGAGTATGGTCTCAAGCAGACATTATGGCTATGCTGCCAATGTTGAAGGAGATTGGTGACTCCTCCGTTTTGAACAGCCATTGCTGTCAGCAGATGCTGTATCTCGGCACGTTGATCTTGGATTTTGGATCCATCAGCTCGGCCCAGAAGCTGCTGCTTGAGAAAACTAAAAAATCATGGGCACCTTGTTTGAAGCTGCATGCTGGGCAACTCGCTGTTGCAGCTTTCCTCATGCCTGCTGAAAACTCTAGGGGTTGATTCCCCATTCTTTTCAACCATTGTTCTTTTCAAAAAACCGGCTGTTTCCCCTGAGTCTTTGATGGTTTCCTGAAAAGAAGGATCCCTGGAAAGAATGGGGAACGTATCCCTAGAAAACCGGGGCCGGGCGATGGAACTCGAGGCTGGCGGCCTTCGGGCGTTTGGCGCACGCCCGCTATGGGTCCCAGTGGCACAGCGACACGGCGCTCTTCGTGGCGCGCGGCGCTGGCTGGGCCTTGTACCGCCTGGCGCGCCTGGATGAGCCGCCCCGCTGGAATGGCTGTGCATTTTAAGTAGGGACTTCGGATGAATAAGCCCCTGTAAGATAAAATATGGGGAACTGTTCCCCTCCAAAAGTGATGAATCCCCACAAACAGGGTTTTCTTTATCCGGGGTCAACATCAAGTAAGGACCCCGTGGTGGACATTATTTCGGGGATTTATGTCCACCAAGCACTTCTCAGGGGTTTCCCGTTGCAATTCAGAGCCAAAGCGGGACTTGCGGAGTTCGGTTGAGGGACTTGGTGCGATAGGCAGGGAATGACAAGGAGTCCGGGTGTTGGTTGAATGAACCGGATTTGGGGAGTTCCCGAAGAAAGGGAGCCAGCAGGGATGGATTGTAGGGGTCATTCCCTTTTTCCTGGATGAGAACCAGCAAGGTGATCCGCATCACTTTTAGGGGAAGCCCCGAATTAGCAAATCCAGGAACCAGGTTGAATCCGGGGTCGACAGTACTCCCCTGAAAGGCGGTGGCTGCTGGTTTCATGCAAGCATGCAGGAGGGTTGGAGTTGTTTTGTAGTTGGTACTTTTGCCCTCAGTAGGTAAGTTCGCGATCGACCAATGATCAATGGAAGTTGGGGGGGTCCCTTCACAAATCTGTCCAACGGCTTCCTTTGGAATCCATGTTGCGAGGAAGTACATACGTGTTTAGAGCTCCTGCTTGTGGTGAGAACCGGCAGGGTCTGTATGATACAAAAGCTGTCCTTGGAAGATAGAAACGGTGTGCGGATTGGACAAGTTGAAAAGGGGGCCGCGCACAAAGATAGAAAGTGTTACGTGCAGGAAATTGTTTCCTCAGAAAAGCATTTTGAGATTTTTGGGGCAACCTATCTTTGTGCGCGACCCCTGAAATTTGAAGAGCCCTGCCTTACAATGGTGCTAGGGGTCCATGTGGACTTATTTTGTTTTGGTCATGCATCCAAGGTCAGTCATAGCACTTCAGCCAGCAGGTTGATATTTGGTGATTGGTCCATCTTTACCATGCGCCCGAGAACCAGTTGTTCACTGGCACTTGGTTTTCTCCTCGTTGGCTCATCACTAAGACAGACCGGAAAGGCCATTTGTTCCGATGGTTGCTGAAGCCCACTGGCACCCCGCCGGAAACGGCGTGCAGATTGGATTGCTTTTGGCCTGCGAAAATACATTGAGATGTTTCCGGGCGACCCGTTGCGTTTCTCTCCCAAAACAAGGCTGCTAAAGGCAAATGGGGGAAGTTTAGCGCCTTTGAGTTTCGCACCGAGGTACTTCGCCACAAGGCCAACAGGGCGGTTGTGCAGGTACCCCAGGACACGTAGTTTGGCTCCTTGAGGAAAGAATTGGAGAGGTGCCTGGTTGGTTCAGAGTTCCCCTGAATGACGCAAGTCGAACGAGGGTTTTACATGTTTTAGTTTTCAACTCCAGCTGACAGTGTGGAGCCCAACGCACCAGTGCCAGCAAGGACTAGTATTTTGTGACTGTCTGACCATATAATGTGATGATGTGCGTACGTGTCCGAGACGGGGCGGGCTGTTGTCAGAGGGTTTCGATTTTGGATGTTGACTGTTGTTTGTTATTTCTGTTGAGCATTCAACGCGAGATTTGCCCACAGCTGTCTGGTCTTGTTTATACATTGCAATGGCCTATTAACCTATGGCAAGACACTGTAAATAGTGTCATGGCGGGTCTCGAAAGTGGCTTCATCTCATATTCACACATGTTCAGCCAAGAGTTCGTTCGTCTTTGACGGGTCCATGAGCCTGAGCGGTTTTTCCAAAGGTCGCAAGGCACTGAAACGCCAGCCCAAGGTTCTCTTTGCCATCTTTTTGCCGACCTCTGCGCAGTTCCAACACGGAACCCACCAGAAGATCCCCTCAAGAAAATTGTTTTTCAGGAACCTCCAATTAGGTTCAATGTTGTTTGTTGGAAGGTAGCAATACGTTCCAGAGTTGGAGCCCCAATTTGCTCACTTATGGCTTTCATTTGGGCAGTGCTGGAGTGGTTGTGCTTGAGGTTCACAGAGGGGAATTCATGCCTCAGTGCTTGAAGCCAGGCTCTACAGCACCGAGAGTGACTTGGCACTTTGATTCTTGGAAAAATGGTTTGCAAGGAAAGCTGTGAGGTTTTGTGCAAGGGTGAAGCTGCATTGCAGTTCATCAAGCTCGCCTTCCCTCACTTTGCTGATCTCGGCATGGCTTGTCATGCCAGCTCTTGCCCCATGTTGCACTGCTCTGCTTTGCTCAGTTGCCAGCGATCAATTGCTAGACACTTATTTTCGGTCTTTGGGTCCGGTGCGGAGGAAAGATAGTTAGGCGTGGTCTTTGCAAAGCCTTACCTGGGTAGGGGTCAACATAAAACCGCCAGGGGACCGCAGGCTTTAGTCCACGTTTCCATTTTTTAACGTTCCATTTTGGGTACCTAGTTTTGACCCACACCCACCTGGCAATCTTTAGTCTATCGTGGATGGTTTGTTTGCAAACCTTCTAGCCCTTCGGGTCTGCAAACTCAGCAGTCAATTAAGTTAAGAACATCTACCGTAGGTAGCCCTATAACCATGAGTGCAACTGGTTGATAACCGCGACATTGTTCAATTCCCCTTCACATGCCAAAGCCATATGGTTCGATTTAGTATGCTTTTCTCCGTGAGTTCGTGGACTTGGTACTTTTTGGGTAGGCCATTTTAGTGGCCCATAAGCTGTTTGCATATTGTGTTGGCCAATGCACTCAGGAAGACACCCTGCCGCTATCTAAGATGGAAGTGCGCGGGCGTTCAATTCGAAAGTCGTCTTCCCAAAGGAGCTCCTTCAAAGAGACCATGTCCCCTTTTTGTGGCATTACGCTGAATGGACCAGAAGGAAGCCACCAAACCACTGCGTGGATTCTGAACAAAAGGATTGAGGTTCGGGAAAATAACAAGGGACCCCCCTTTCGGATTTTCCCATGGGACCCGGTCGTTTGGCGTTTTCGTTGCAGGTGCCGAAGGTTTGCTTCAGCCCGAGCTCACGGAGTTGGATACGACGAAGCCCACAGATTGGGCCATGGAGCTGCGTACGGCTCTCCACACCGGCGGGGAGCTTTGGCATTTGGAGCCCCGGCGCAGGTGGCGCGGAAGGATCGCTTCGGGGGCGTCCGAAGCCGCAAGGAAGGTCTCTTCGAAGCCCCCGAAGTTGGCGGCTTCCATCAGCTTCCCCTGATTGGAGGGTTTTTCGGCGGAATTCCTGCATGTTGGTTTTTGCCCCTTTCATATTACCCGTAGGGCCTCGTAGCGCCAGAAATTCAGTGGTACCCATATAAAGAGAGTTGTGCCATGTAGTGTCGCCCTGTAAAGTTGGTGGGGGATGGTTTCGGCGGAAGGAAACATCAGGCATGGGAGATTCTGACAATTGAATTGGGTTGATGTTGTCAAGAAAACATTTCTGGGTATGCAGGTAGAAAGCATTGATGCCAACATGGCTTCGACGGTGTCCAGTGCACGAATGCCGCCATTTTAGTTGGCGAACCCGCCAGCACATAGCGACTTTCGCAGGGCAAGCCCCGAAATCCCTGACATCTTGGACCCAACATATCATATGCTTTCGGAGCTTGATATCCTCTTAGCCCACCGCTGGGCGCATAGTTCAGAGCCCCTGAAGGAAGCGAGAAGGGCCTATGGCCCGATTTGGGTTTCCAGTTTCGCGGTGTTTCCCCCAGCTCTACTTCCATTGGGCCACGGGCGAAAGCTGCCAGCACATCATATTTAGAAAGGGGGAAGAACGAAGGAGGGGTGGGGTGAACCGTGCGGTGGGGTGGGGTTGGTGGGGGGGTGGGGTTGGTGGGGGGGGTGGGTGGGGTGGGTGGGGCGGGTGGGGTGCATAGGTCATGTTGATGGTATTGGGGCCCCGTTCCGGCAAAAGTGCTTCCTTTGAAGATGGCAAGGCGCAGCGTTGTGTGGACGTGAGAGGTGACATGGCCATGTGAACCCTGGAATGATCCTTATAGAAATTACATGGCATGACTGTTCTTGGACGAACTCCCAGCCAAAGTCCGTGCAGGCCCGCCGCCGGACAAACCATGCTAGAATCAAGTCGTGTAATCCTCACATATTCGTTCTTTTCTGCCCAGCATGTTTCCAGTTGAGGAGGTTGGACAAGTGCATAGTTGTTGTTGGGAACATTCTACATTTTTGCTTATTATGGTTCAGTGGGAAATCCCCACTTATCTGCTAAATCTTATTTTTGTTTGCTCCCCTTCCAGCGCCAACCAAGATTGCGGCTGTGTTTGGTTTATCATCGCACGCCGTTTTCTGAAGGCCAGGCACGGCCTTCCTCACTGTCAGTCCAGCCCAGGACAAAGGCCTCCTGCGGTTTCTCCTGGCCAATGTGCTGCGTCAGAACGAGCGCCTGTGTGACCTTGGAGCTTTCGGGGGCCACTACGCAGCGCCCGGACTCAAATCGATGCTCTGGATATGTACCCTTTCTGACACCGGAAAGACTGGAGGAAGGGGAACTTCCGTCAAGTGTTTTGTAAGGGTGTATCCTAGCTCTAATGGGCAAGGACAGCCACAGCCTAGCTTCGAATTCTGACTATGAGGGGGTTGCTTTGCAATGACTCGTAAATTGGAGCCTGACGTTGCCTTTGTGGGGAAACTGGAACAAGGGACGCTCCACCTTTCTCCCCGTTTGTGTTGAAGGAGGTGTATTGATGCCTTTGTGGCAATGTGAGTTTTCTCTTCATGGCTATGAACAAGGCCTTGTTCTGGAAGGTCCTGAATTGTGCTTAATTTTAGTTGCACAATTATTTGAGCGCTTTCCAGCTCATGCACCAGGCACTTGGGCCCGAAGACTAGCCCATGAAGTCTGCTTGCCGCTATGCGCAGGATCTGTCCCTTCAGGGCCGGATCATTTTTTGCGTCTTGAGGGTATCTGAATTGTGCGAGGGTCGCCCTTCACAAACGGCGTGCGGCTTTGGCAAGGCTCCGTGAGATGCAAGGTGGTGAGTTTCGTTTGCCATATTTTAATACCGGCTGCACGCTTAGCTAGGGCGGCCGCCGCCCGTCCGAACATAGCCGTCCTTACCACCCATGGATGGAAGAATCTTGGATGTCATGTCGAAGCGAATGGACATGAACATCTTTTGGTTTCCAACAGCCTGTGAGTCACCAGGTGATATTTGATCGAGTGGGACCGAGGGAAAACGCGACCGCACTTTTCACAACATCTCCCACGGAGACCCTTGGTACCGCATTACCCGCCATGGTTCCCATACATCTCCCTAATGTATGGCGTGCTCACCTGGGGGTAAAACGAGCTCACCATGATAGAGATCCTTTACTTCGAGATTCCTTGTTTCAGGTTGTGGACATATCTGCAGGAAGTACATTTGGACATATCCTGGATTTGGCCATATCAGATAAACAAACTGCAGATGCATCCATGGTTGTTGTTGGGAAACAGTTTATATTGTTGCTCATTGCGGTTTATTGGGAAGTCGCGACTTAACTGCTAAGATACATTTTTGTTGCTCCCCTTCCAACGCCAACCAAGCATTTGCAGGAGTGGCTCAATGACACGGGCCTGGTGAGGGCTTGGGCCTTCGACGGCCTGGAAGACGTAGAGGAGCTCACGGAGGGTCGCGTGCGCTTTGCGCGCCTGGACCAACCGTGGCCAAGCTGAACGCGGACGCGGACACGATCGCAGCGATCCGTTTGGAGCCGTCGGTTTCCCTGGGGTTTGCTTTGAAGGCCTAAGGCTAAGGGGGGTAGGTCCAACCCCCTGCATGTTTACAGCTTAAACCATGATTGGCGAATTGGGTTTCGCAGTTTCCTTTGGCATGGTGAGGTTGGTGCAGGGAGTTGAAGTCATATATGCAGCCCAGGCACGAATTGTGTATGGTAGTATTGCCCATTGTTGCACAATGCAGCACGCACACACGACTTTTAGCTTTACATTCCGAAACCAAGTCAGAAGGTGAGGCGAGTGCAGGGATGCATCCACGTCCCACGGGGCTGTCCAGCACACCCAAATGATTTCGGGAACTTGGAGCTGCATCATGCAAAAACGCTTCGAGTTAGAAGCAAATAGAGAAAGCCGGATGTTCTGCTGACCCGCCACCAGTGGCAAATTTGTGTGCGTGCGTGCGTGTGTTTCACGTTGTGTGTCTTGCAGTGCTGTTGGTATGTGCGTGTTTGTTTTGTGCGGTGCTGTGCTGTCTACCTCTCAGAAAAGCTTTCAAAGGCTGATGCTTGCGCTGCCGCGGGCAGTGAACGCGAGCATGTAGCAACGTGCCACTGCGTCTTCTCGCAACTGTTTCGGCAATCTGAGATGTCCTCCAAGCGGCATGCCGAGGAGGCGGATTGGAATGCATAGTTTGTATTGGTCATTTAAGTAGTAGGTAAGCTAAATTCCGCTTGTGGAGTACTGGCTGGCTGGTCCGGGTCCGGATTTCGGATTAGGTTTTACTTGTGCTTTTGTTTGTGTTTGTGCTTGCTGGCATTGCGAGTAGCTGTTCTGTGATATGTGGGCGAAGAAAAGACGCCCAGGCTTCACCTTGAGGGCTGTGACGTGGTGCTGTGCTTGGAAGTACTGGAGCACATTCCGCGGGAACAGGACGGGCTAAGAGAGGGGGGTCGAGAGTCTGACCAAGACGTTGGCATACGTTGGCCAGGGCATGCCCAGTTCCTCCGACTTTAATACTGCAATGGGCATGCCCAAAAGCAGACCTCGAACGTTTGCTTTGTTTGCATGGATCCATATGAGCTGCCCATTCCTGAGGTGCACTTGGGCGATGCATGGGGTCCCCCCTCTTCACTGGACACGTTTGGCGCGTCGAGTAATGGGCCTGGCAAGTTCAACCTCTGACTTTAGTGCGCAGGTACACCAGGCGCAGACCTCAACTGCTTTGCCAACACATTTTGTCTAAGAAAGATGTTGCTGCCCTCAGAGCATCCCAGAACACTATCCCCATTGCACAAAAATGGGGTATGTAAATAGACACATGTTTGCTTCCAACAGTTCTGTACAGTCTTGGGGGAGTGGTTTGGGGGCAGTGACTCTGTGGCCACTCCGGCAGTGTTCGACCGACTTCAACGGGATTCGCATTTGATATACACTGAAGTCTGTCTCAAACTGGTGCCAACCCTTTCTTTCAGGGCTCCCTGGACATCACGAATGCAGACCGCGACCAAGAGAAAGGGTTCTGCATTTTCCCCTGTCGGTGATTTGACACACGGCCTGTGCATGGGCACTTGGATCTGAACACCTTGCGGGAGAATCCCAGCTGCTGAGCTGCCTGCTGACAGTCTAGCATGGAAGTAAGTCCAGACTCATTTCAAATCTCGCTTGAGTTGCCGAACTTAAGAGGGCAGGAAGACCATTCTTATTGGTAAACCAACAGTTTGGAGACTCGAACCTCAGAAAGTGCATCGAAACCCCCCACAAGCCAGGATTTGGATCCCAGAGCCCCAACCCCGGAACAACGCACACGCCCCCCCAGCCCCCTCCCCCCCAGCTTTTTGTTGACAACAACAAGTGACCCCCCCCCAAAAAAAAAACACAACACAAGGCCAAATCCGCTTTCCCCTCATAGTTAGGACTCAAATAATCCGCTTTCAGCTCTCTGGGGGAACGAACCTGCGAGGAGGCCACGGCCCTGCAGAACTTGAAGACAGCGCTGCGGGCGCTGGTGGTGTCCTGGGCCCCCCCCTGGCAGCCGGGGCCTGGCCACGTGAACGGGCGGAGTCCCCAGGAGACCCGTTGATCGGCACAAAATCGGGCGATCTTGGTCCTCTCAGTTTCCAGGGGGGGAAAAATTACGTCACCCCAAAAGGGGTGCCCTGAAAAGACATGCGGCAAGCAAAAAAGAGTTTAGACTTGTTGTGGCAAGTTGTGGGTGCGGCATTGGTGGCATTTGTGCGGAGTGTCACTCAGATCATGGCTATCGATATTCTATCCTGTGCAAAGGCACTCTCAGGCATCACATGTTGCAAGTAAGGGCGAGCCCACTGTGCATTTGTTTGTGCCCTCACGCATTGCCTGGTCCCAGCAGTTTCATTGGCACAGCACACAAAATCATTGGGACTGAGCATTGCGCTATGGAAAAATAGGCGGGGGTCCTATAGTCTAAGTGAAGCCAGCACTGCAGCTGTGGCAAAGCTTGGCTTTCCCACAGTCAGCGCCCTGATACTTCTACCTTGCGCCTTTGTGACAGCAGACGTTTCCAGAAGGGGCACTAAGGTATCCATGTTTCCCTGACTCAAACATGACACATGATTGCTTCGCCTGCTTTGCACTTCGGCTTCGGAAAACGATCGAAACGAAGGAGGCGTGGCAGCTCATAGAGAAAGCTACAGGGATGATGCGAAGCCCAGAGCTGACCGAGTTGGCGCAGGCACCTGTGAGTTTGAGCGCGTTGAATGGCAGGGTGGTTTTGTTATTCGGAACCAGCCTTTTCAATGCAGGACATCTTGACATGTGACCTGAGGGCTCTTGGCAACCCCCTACGGTTGGCTCCTTGTGTGTTTGTTTGTGTGTTCCATTGTAGGGGGTTAAACAGAACTCACCTGCTTCTGTTTCGATCTTTAAAAGTGAAGGAAGGTCCTTGTGCTTGCGCTGGCTGCTTTACAGAGCATTGCTGACTGTTGGCGCAAACGCAGCCAAGAAGTGCTGTCCTGCGCTTGACAGAATACATTCAACAAGTGCATAGGTCCGTTTCGTTTTCTGTTCTGATGCCCCTATCATTTTGTTCTGTGGCCAATAGCTCGAGAAGATTACTTGTCATGTCTTCAGGCGCATGGCTGACACATGCCTGTGTGTGTGTGTGCGCAAGTCCGGGGTAAAGCTTCTCAGACTAAAACAGCTAGTCCTGAGGCAGCGTCAGTCCAGTGACTCGGCCGGCCTTCGCGCCGAAGATTCCAGTGTTTGTTCGCTACTGGCCAGCAACACGCAGGAGTCCCCTTTGTGCAGCTGTATCAAGCATCAATGGATCGGGACTGGGCGCCGCAGTTGGTGCCTGGAGGGGTGCTCGGGCGTTCAAAGGCAGGTTGCCATCATGGCTGTTTTTTCAATTGTTCCAAGACACGGACGGTTTCCTTTGCAGCACGAATGTTGGCACACTGCTGATGTTCTAGATATGGCCTGGCTGCAAGCAGGCCTGCCACATGTCTTTTGGTCAGCTACTGCCAGAAGGATGGATGAAGGACGGGAAAGGCTAATGAGTGATGTGTGAACGTTTGCGATTGCAGTGCCAGAGGTCGATGCTTGCCAACCTATCATGGTCACCCTCCTAGCGAGGTCTCAGACATGGGGCTCCGTGGCCCGGCACCGATCCAGGCCAAGAGCACCGTCCCCTGGATCCGGGAGTCAGTGGCCATCTTCCTGCGTGAGTGACGAGCAGATTCCTTCGAGGAGAGGGTCCCGGCTGCGGCTGAAGCGAGTTGAAAGGATCCGCCTGCTGACCCTGAGCTCGGTGCACGGGTAGCCAGCGTCACTTTGGTCTCAGAGTCTCACGAATCGGAACGCGGACGAAGTCGGTGCTGAAATGACTGCGGTTTCTGGGGCTCAAAAGAAGTGCGATTGCGAGGCCAGTGCCTTGGTGGTCTGTGGGCCGGCTTCCATGACCGCGTGGAATCTTTGCGGGGTTGGCCACCGCAAACCAGCCTCCTCACCATCATGAGAACTCTGGTGCCCACAATCGACACCACAGAAATGCATCAAGTTGTGAAATGTTCAGACTTTTACTTGCCAGACACTTTTTCAGCCCTTGAGAACAGGCTATAGTCTTGCAGGGGGCAGGCAGTGGGTGTCCCCTGCACTGCTTCTCTCAATCGCTCTTGGCATGTTGAACATGGTTTTGCTAACATGCCAAGGTGGCGAAGTGAATGTTTGACCGGATGCTGCAAACACACCTGGAAATGCAAGTGAATCTAGCCTTCAGATAATCCTTTGCGCACTTCAAAATGGATGAATTGGGAATGTGGGCATGATTGAGCAATCTCGCTGATCCAATGTGTGGTGCGTTGCGTTTGTTTGTGCCTTGTGTTTGTTTCGCTGGCTGGCTGGCTTGCATTTCCCTTCCAACAAGTTCCAGATCTGTTTTCACCCTGGCAAGCATGTCTGAACTTGTCCTAACCAACAAGGTCTCAAATTATATCCCATGGCCAACCCAGTTCATTGGCACGGCTCGTTTGGGTTCCGTTCCCTCGGAACAGCTTGGTTGCAACGGGCTGGCACGGCAAGCGGCAGGCTGCCTGGTCTACTTCGACACGGAGCACATCGCCGAGGCGGCGGCGCATCTGGATTTGGTGCTCAAAGGCCAGCGCGGGGGCACTCAGCGCAGCTCGCTCTCGCGCCGCAGCTCTTCGGTCTTCGACGGCTTTCGATTCGAGGGTGTTTGGCTCCCAAAGCTCGCTTCCCGAGGTCCCGTGAAGTGACTTTAGCCACTTTTTGGGTTCGGACCTGACCATTTGCGGTAAATAGAAGGTTGGGAATTCTTTGGCCCATCCACTCAGGAGGTGAGTTGAGGGTTTCCCTCTCCCGAAGTTTGGGTTTTTGTCCCTAGCTGCCAATGGAGGGTTTAGTTTGGTCAAAGAAGAGGCCATTGCCGTTTCGGATGGCTTGAGAAAAAAGTATGAGTTGGGACAATCTACATGGAGTTTGTTCGCTGGTGATGGTTGAGGACACGGGAGCCCTGCCCATCGGTCGGCAGTCATGGGTCGGCCATTCCCTGCAACAAAACAGGAAGGGGTAGAAGCATATTGAACCCCTGCAAAGTTAGGAGCTCGTTCCCTATGTCTCTACCAAGTAGGTTTGGCAGATCATTCTGGGCAATTGAAATCGGGAATCGATCGCTACTTAGGCAAATGGAAGGTTCTCACCAAACTATTGAAATTTGCCGAAGATGCAGTTCATATCCTTACAGGTTGCAAGTAAACCAATCATTTACCGTGGTAAACATGTAAAGCTGTCTATGCTTGCTACAAAAGAAGAAGATAAACCAAGGCCCCGAGCGAGAGTGTGGCATCTTAGGCAACGTTGGTTTACAAGGTCTTGCATGTTTTGCCTTAAGCCTTCGGAAATGATGCAACATAAACACACATTGCAAGGGGTTCACGTTGCAGCGATTGCGCGATTTGGAGTCCGAGGGGCAGCGAAATCCTTGCAAGGGGGTAGCACTAGCTGGGTTTTAGATGGTTTTAGTTCACAGTGGCCGTAGGGAGAAGCGTTCGAGGTGTGTTCAGAGTGTCAGCTGGGCACAAAAGGTGCAGGGCGATGAGAATTCCAATCGGTGTTCGGCCACCGTGCGGCTGCTCCGCATCTCAGACATGGGCTGCCTTCTGAACGCAGGATGCTTGAGCAAGCTGCAGGCTCTTGACAGAGCCCAGTCGAAGGGTACCTGCTGCCATCTGCTGCCTTTCCACAGGCATCATCCCTCTGGCAGCAAACAGCCGGGGGTGAAATGCTCAATCTCTAGCTTTAGCTAGCTGTTGTTTCGACCTGTGTAAGCAAGTGCATGGGCTGAATCCCCACTTATTGATTCATTCTGTCTGGGCTGAATCCCCACTAACAATCTGGGCTGAAAAAACGAAGCAAGAAATTCCTCCAAGCCGTAGATTCCATTCCCCCCTGGGCCGCCCACTCCCAACACGGGGCAAGGGTTTCCGTGCAGCTGACCGGAAGAATCTGACAGTTCGACGGATCCCAACGCAGCCTCTGCAAGAGGTGGATGTATCAACAGCCTTCTTTTGGATCACGTGTAAGCAAGTGCATGGGGTGAAGTATTGGCTTGTTGATGACATAGTGTATCCAAAATTTGGGTGGAACTAATTCGTAGAACCAATAACGCAGTCCCTGCCCCAAGTGCCCCTTCACGTTCTAAGCTCGCTTCGGCCCCAAACAGCCCTGGACCGCCTCACATGGTGCCTTGCTTCTGTGGTCCGCTAGCTTTCGTCCACCAACTCCTGCTCAAATGTCCATGGTGGCGGTCCTTTCTTGGGGATCCCTAATTTCAGACAGTGGAACGCTACTTTGTGCAGCCTGGTCGGTTCTGCATAAAATCTTTCTGGAAGCCAGGGCTCACTGTCTAACCCTGTGCCTTGTCGACTTGCGATGGGTGGGCATCCGCGAGTGTGGGGAGGAGGGAGCTTTCGGCGGAAACCAATGGGAACACACGCATTCTTGGGGTTTCCCTTGTGGACGCAGGTTTCCCACACAGACATCCAAGAGCCCAGTGTACTTTCAAGATGACCTTTGGGCACAAGAGCCCTTCACAAGTACCCTCCCGCCAATTAACATGGAACCTGACGTTGGGATTTGTTTTGCAAAAGGAAAATGGTCCAAACCGGAAACCCTCCTGTCAGATTACAATGTGAATTGGTGGGGGGGGCATGACTTTCATAATGTGCAATAAGTCAGCCCCAGCTTCCCATAAAACAAGTTGTTGGGGCCCCGGCTTGCTTGAAGTTGACCTCAGCGGTGAGGCCGATCAACGTCCACAGTTCTTCTTGTACGCCGAATTGCAGAGTGCTTCTATTGCCCGTGCCATGTTTGTTCAAAAGGGAACTTGGGGAAACATGCTTGGTTGGTTTTGCCACAGGAAGCCAACAAATCTTTATTCCTTTGGGGCAACATGCTGCCAATGCTGCTTTTATCTCTCGCGTTGCCGCGTGGCTTGCTGGCTGAGGTCTTCATTTGAGCTCCTCCTCGGCAAGGGATGCCAAGGCCACCCTCTTCGTGGGCAATGTCCCGTGACCTGGCTGATATCCTTTCCTGACTCCAACGGTCCTACTAAGTTGTTAGACGTTCAATTTTGAAGATGCTTCATGCACTCGTCACGAATAAGTAGAGATATTTATGGACGTGTGCTTTTTGGGGGGGTGAACCAGGCAGGCCGCATGTTCACACAAGAGGTGACAGCACAAGCCGGCTTGCGCAGGTGCCCAATACTCACGCTTACAGTGTACATGGCCATGGGGAAAGTAATGAGCTCCCCCCAGATTTTGTGGTTGGAGCGTACTGAGTCCCAGCATGTGCCTCCCAACTGGACCGTAGACTGCTAAATGAAGTCCCCTGGACAAAAAGCGTGATAGATTCCCGTTACGACCAAAAGGGGACAAATAACAAATATCACTAAGCAGACGGAAGTTAGAGGTTGAAAGTAGATGGTACATGTCCCTTTATGGAAGTAAAGCGGACGAAACCGAAATGGGAATTGGAATTGTGACAACACCTTGATCGACTGCACCCTAAGGTTTACAGAGAGTTCCGTGGGGGGCCAGCCGCTTCTGGACGACAAGCCAGAGCAAACCTACCCTTTCGGGTTGCCCCGCCATATTTAGGCTCCAAAAGAAGGGATATCTTGACCGAGCTGAATTTGTCCACACGGAGTGTGTTTGCATTGTTCTCTGTGGGAAGTGACATCATTCCTTGAAACGGCACCCTGGCTGTCAATGCCAACATCCCAGCAATGAGGGGCAGCACATGCCATGCAAGGTCGGAGGATGAAGAATCCATTGGCAGGGGTCCATTTGCGTCTTCTATTGGTTTGGGCGGTCCCCTATCGGTGTTGTGGCGGTAACATCATCAGGCTTGTATTTACATATAACGATGTATGATCACAAATGCATATGTATGAATACAAGATATCTGAATGCGGCCCCCCGCTCAGCGAGGACTGTGACCGTCCGACAGCTGTGGAGAAGAAGAAGAAGAATACAAGATATGTATTATTTACGTGTATTGTGTACTATACCTTTCTATAGAGAGATAGCTTCACACGTGGTGGTTCCGCGTCGTGTCCCTTCGGGCTGAGATACGACGCAGAGGAGGCCGACCTTCACGAGGTGCTGGGTGTTGCAGGGCCGCTGGCGGAGGTGCGCCTGATGCGGAAGGGCATGGCGCTTCTCGGCGGCGTCCCCCAGGTCGGCGGTTTCGGGGCTGCCAATGTTGCCTTTGGCGCAGTTGTGGAGAGTTTCCGGAGGATCTCGCCACTTGGAGATATGGAGATATTTCTTGGGCAGATGTGGGACGAGTCTAGCAGGCATGATGTCAAGCAAATGTCACTAGCATGCGTGTGTGCGTGTGATAGCAGCTGTGCGGAATGCAGCACCGGAGAACCTGCCCACTGCACCTGAACAAGCATAATTTCATCGCATGCCCTCATGTGTGCAGCATGATTTGTCTCTCCGACACCTGCTGAGTGGCGTATTTTTACTGCAACGTAGCCGTTAGTTGTATATAGAGGTGGTACAACGCCCGTATGTCAAAGTAGCTCTTCAGCAGATATCTCAGATATCTAGCACGTGTTTTTTCAGCGCGTGCAAGCATCGTTCTGTAGGATGTTGGTATCGAAGTCCAGCCGTGACGTGGTACAATCAGTAAAACTTGCCCTG